TTGTTGAAGTTGTATGTAAACATTGTTACCATTCACTTTCCAATCCATGCGGCCCATATATGGAAACTAAGCTGCAAAAATAGTCTTTTGAATTGTTTTGTGGTGTCACGAAATTAAATACATATACACATATTTGTGTATTTTGCCTATAGTAGAACTGGGTTGTTTTTTTAATGAGACACACTTCCGGAAAAATGTACCCCAAGGTTTTAAAGATATACTACATGGTGCACTGCAAGGGAAATATACGTTTCGCCTTTTCATGACTGTTTTTAAGTAGAAAAAAAAAATAAAAAGCCTGGAATCAAGACATGATGTTTGGATGCAATGCTACTTTAAAGAAAATTGAAATAGAATATGAAACAATTATGTTTCCTAAGTAAAGATACTGCAGACGTATCCCTGAGGGGTACCATTCCAGTGGCTTGAGGGCATTCAGTGACAGTTTAGAACTTTTCTCCTGAGTGTACAGTGCAGCCGATCAAAACAGAGGTCATTTACGGTAAAAATAGACTGTTTAATCCAGAGAATAAAGAAAATCTTTAAAAATCTGTAAAAGGTTTGAAATGGTCGTGTAAAAATCAATTACGGCTGTTTTGGTTCACAAATTCCGTCAAATGTCATACGTGGACCTCGAGAAATCTAAGATACAGGCCCTTTAACAGAGCCTATAGCTTATAGACTTCATAGGCCTTTTATACTGTCTCAACGAGCTTTCTTTTCTGCCTGATTAGAGGGGACCTTAAAGGGCAATTCCATCGATTTTTCTAAATTTCTGCATAATTCAGTGGTTGAGATATAAAGTCATTCAGAGTGGTTTGATGTGAAATGGTTCAGGGGTCCTGAAATCTGCAATGCAAATAAAGCCATTTTATTTACTATCCAAAACCAACAGTGAATCTATATATGTTTTCTGAGTTTTTATATGCAGTGGTGATGATGGCAAAATAATGGTAAACCTGAAAATATATATTTTTTCCTGGGGGCTACTTTGGCAGAACACCCTTCATTTAGCCCTCCATCATGAATAGATTCAAACAAATTGATTAAAATACGTTCTCGGGCAAAGCTTTATCATAAAACCACCGTAAAACAATGTCATAGACATCAGACTGAGTATTCATAACCATTTAATGTAATAACTTTATATGAGAGAGATTTTAGAGGCATTCAACACTTCAGACATCTGGTTCTTATCAACATCACAAAAATTCTGACTCTAAGTTTCTCTAGAACGAAGCGTTTCACACCAAACCATTCTAAATGACTTTAACCATTTTGCAGATTGTGCAGAATTTTTGAAGAATCGGCGGAGTTCCCCTTTAAAGAGCTGCTCTTGCGGATGTAAAAAGGTGACACCTTTGTGATTTCTAGAGTGAAAGTCAATAAATATGGACATCAAACATTATATTTGAATTATATTGCCTTTGCATTATTGAATCTGGCACATAACCTGACTATGGAGTGAAATACCATATGATCTGCCATTATGCTGCTGAGCATTCACTCCGTGCCGTGTCTGTGCCAGTGCGGGTGAATGGGGAACAGATGAGAATGAAAGGAAAATAGACCCTAAACGACTTGCTTGCAAAAAATATTTTTTTCACTTTTCAGCATCAGAGAAACATCGACAAAAGGATGGACCCAAATGCACCATGTAATATCCATCGTCAGGAAACTGATTAGCATTGATGTTGTCACTTTGTTGTGACTCCTAAACACTAACACCACTTGTTAAAGGGTCTTATTTATTGGATGGGCTGTCTGGGTTGTTGGAAAGACTGGGGGGAATATTGCGCTGACACAAAGACGCTGGAAGCTATCATAAAGAATATTAAATTCCAAGATAAAAATTTTGATAAATAAAGATGTCTGGTGCCAAGACTGGTAGTAACATTACTCAAAATTACAGCGCGATCAAACTTTACTAAATGCCTGGAAGGCTATTTTAATGGTTGTGTACTCTTGAGTTTCTCAACATAAGATCTATTCCACAATATAGGCTACAAAAGAACGCAGGAACATATTTTGTAACAGAAGAAATTGAATTATTTCTGGCTAAAAGCAGTGTATCGCTTTGCCCTGCTACATCTGTTAGATTAACGGTGTGTTAAGACCTCTAAAAGGAGGAGTTTTCTCGCAATATGGCAACACTGTTCTGTGGCAAGTTCACTGTACCGTCTGGGCGCCCTCTAACTGATCGGTAAAGCATGCGGATTGTGTTTCAGCGCTCTCCGTTGCAGATAAACAGCAAAACTGTAGCGCAGCGCTGAGTGTAATGACTGCGCGACAGTGAACCAATCAGATTAAAGCTTTAAATCACGTGCTTTGCCCTGAAACGCCAGCGCGCAGATCGAAAGAGTAGCACAGATATGTAACCCATTCGTGTCCAATAATCACATTCACGGTAAGTAAAATGCCTCAGAACTTGTTCGGATTTGTCTAAAATGAATAAGCATGTATTATATTTTTATAACATGCACTTTGCACATAATTAAATATGCATATCACTTTATTATAAATCAGCTGTCCCATATGACCAAAATACTAGATGTAATATAATAAATTGATAACAACTAAATAAAGTGATAAAACTCACATGGTTTAAACAATTATACAAATGTTTTTAGATTTTTTTAGGTAAGCTAAGAGTTTAAGTTAGAGGTAATAAGAGTAAATATTTCACATATGGACATTAATAGGTTAAAGGAACAGTCCCTGAAAAAGTGTAATGTGTACTGATGTAAATCACTGCACCAGCACAGTGCTCGCTATTGCAAACTTAAATTCCAAAGAAGCTGAGGCAGTGTGAAATGCAAATAAAAAAAGAAGAAATTAAAAAAAAGCGATTTGTAAATCCTCTTTGACCTGTACTTAAACAACAACAGTACAAAGAGAAGATATTTAATGTTTTACCCTGTCAGTTTCAAAATGTTTTATGGAAAAGAAGAGGCTTGCCACTTTGTTAAAAAATGCATCAGATCTGGCGGTTGGCGCTTTCCTCCGAGCGCGTTCAGCTGTCCAATGACGTCGCGTGAGTGGCAGCTCGAAAAGATGCGGTGGCTGGCTTCACAGGTCTCGGAGGAAACCTGTGTTAGCCCTCACCCTCCTAGCGTTGATAGTATCGTGTGATTGTGGGAGTTCTAACTAGCGGGTGGAATTTGAGACGACTAAATTGGGGAGAAAACCATCAACCGTCCAACAGTTTAAGAACAAGACTGCAAGATTTTAAATACTGCACGCTTTTGATGCATAATGTCAGGGAATCCAGAGAAATCTCAAAGAAATCTTAAATGGCAAAAATCACAACTGAATGCCTGTGACCAATGATCCTTTAGATGGCACTCTACTTAAAGTCGTTATGTCTCTGTGATGGATATCACCACTCAGGAATACTTGTTTGCTGTATCCCCAAGGGCAAGTCAAGACTGTACTAGCAAAAACCATATGTCAACAATGTCCAGAAATGCAGCCATCTTCTCTGGGCTCAAGCTCATCTGAAATGGTCTGATGCACAGTGGAAACATGTATTGCAGTCCATCTTTCAGGCTGTTTGTGGAAATAATGGACAGCATATTTTCTAGGCCAAAGAAGAAAAGGACCATCCAGACTGTTAACAGCGTAAAGTTTAAAAGCCAGTGTTCGTCAGGGAATTAATGGGGACACCCCATTTTAGTTCCCATGACAAGGGTAACTTGCGTATTTGTTAGAACACCATTAGCTACATATAGATTTTGAAGCAACATATGCTACCTTATAGAAACCTTTTCAGGGATATCCATGCTTCACATGACAACACCAAGCCATTCTCTGCACGTTACAACAGCATGGCTGCATAATTGGAGACAATGGGTGCTTGACTGGCCTTCCTGCTATCCAGAGCTGTCTCTCATTGAAAACGTGTGGCACAGAATGAAGTGTAAAATATCGCAACGAAGGCCCCATATGATTATGCAGCTGAAGACTTGTGTACTAGATGAATGGCGATAATACCTGCTTTCAAAACTGAATCAATTGGTGTTTTTAGTCACCAAACAATTATTCAGTGCTATTAAAGATAAAGGTGATATAATACATGGTAAATATTCTCCTGTCCCAACTTTTGTGGAATGAGTTGCATGCACCAAATTTGGAATAAAACATCAAATATTGCGTTTTTGAACATTTTTTAGTTTAATACAGGTTAAACAGCATTTCCTAAATCTTTCTGCTTTTTCAGCATTTTACATACCAATTAAAAATGTCATTTATTCAATTAAAAAATAATGCATGTTTTTCAGACAAATTTATTAAGAATCATTCACAGTAGTGGTGACTGGAACCACACATCCAAAGCATTTGATGCCTCTCTAAAAGTCACCACACAGAAAGAAATGAACCTTGTTTTACAATAGTTTTGATTGAAGATTTTTGCCTAAAATGAATTTTTTAAATATATTCATGGCAGAGATTAAAAGTTTAATGGTAAAATACATTTACAATACACTACTGTGGTGGTGACAGTTTTCTCTAAAGAAATTAAGGCAATGTTTTTTTCTACAATCATTCAAATCAGTCTGAATGACATTTTGAACTATGCAAAAAAAAACAAAAAAACAAAAAAAAAGGAATTCCTCTTTAGGAGTACATACAATTTATCCTCTAGAGTCAGTACAATCTGTCTGTTCTGGTATCAAGTTCAGCTATATTTCATTTGTTGTCACTTCCTTTTTATCTTGTCTGCTTATTAGTTGAATGTGTCCTCATTGCACCTCAAACATGCTGTTTGTTATATGTTATAGTTGTGTACACATGTAATGGTAAAGCTGAATGTTGTTTTTTTAAATATCAGGAATTTGATTCAGAAAAATATCAGGAAATTTTCAATCACAGACTACGTTGAAAACACAAGTCACATTGTGGCTTCTAGCACTGGCTTGTATTGGATAAATTCAGCAACACAGAGTAATCCCCTCTCCATTTTATTTGCTTCAGCAGCAGCATAGATTGGCAAGGGAAGACAACACATAAAAACTCATTTAAGTAACAAATTAGATTTGCTTTCATTGTACAAAATGTAGAAATAGAAAAATCTACTCTTAACAACAACAACAACAACAACAACAACATTGTTTTTCACAGAAGTTCAGGTATAAAACAGTTATTGTGGTGTATTATTAGGTGAAAAGGCATTTAAAAATGTCAAAAGCTCAAGATTATCCCAACTAATCTAGATATAACCATGGAAAAATCACTTTCATCTAGTGGTTCAATAAATTAAATCATAAATAGGACTCTTGACAGGTGTTAATTATTTCCCTTTCCACAGGTATGGGGTCCTTCTGCTACACCTGGCTGACAATCTCTGCATCTTCTTCTTCGTACCATTTGATTGGTGTTCCATCAGCAGTCCTCTGGATAATGTGTCTTTGGGGTACCTAGAGCAGAAAAGAAAAGAGTTATTTGTGACCTGAAATGTGTTTGCCTGAGATAAGCTATGTTTTCCTTTTCCCTGAAGGACAGCACAGTGAGCTGATTTGCTTTTAGCTGCAATCAGTGCTGGGAGAGCAAGAGATTTAACTTGGTATCTAGTATCAGCAATGTAACACTGGGAGGGAGCAGTTTCACACACAGTGACTCAGTGCTGTTGACTAAAGGAGTGGCTCAAATCAACCCTGCTTAGAACAGCTGAGCCATAAGTCACTCCATTCACTCCATTAACTAAGAAGTCACTGATTCCTTCAGCCAAAGCAAATGTATCCATGTAAGCTCTAATAAAAGGTACAATGGAGAGGTGAAGAACCACTTTTGGTTCTGCAAAACTTTCAATGGGTGGTTTCAGAAAAAAGTTCCATAACCAAATTGGTAACCAGTGACAGTATGAGTCGCACAGGAGAGATACATGGTTTCTGAAAAGCAACTCTCAGTGGCATCTCACATCTACCTTCCATACTCTTAAAAACCATTTTTCTGTAACAGTTTCATAGATGAACTGTCATGATCATAAAATTTTAGCTGAGGTTCAAATTTCAAATTAATTGTGATTAACATTTTGTCTTTTTGTTCACTGTATGCAATACTGTATGTATTAAAGCACACGCCTAAAGTGGCCAAACTGGATGGTTAGTCGTCTAGCAGTGTCCTAGCAGTTGATACTTATTAGCTCATAACTGACGTGACATGTTACAGCACCAAGATAACTTCTGCTGTTTTTGTAAGCCCCATGTATGAATAACTGTTTTCTTCCTTCTTTACATGTATTTACCTCCACTGAACAGATGAAAATGGACCCAATTCACATTTTCTTTGTTGCAATGTAAACACATGATCGTCAAAGCTAACAACAGAAAAATAATTGCTTAAATAATTGTGATCAGGCAATTCTGTAATAACTGTGACAAGCCTAAGAACCAATTCTGGTTCCATAAAGAACCTTTCAATGGATGGTACCTTAAAGAACCACTATTAGAAATGAGATTGACCTATACCAATTAAGGGTTTTTCCTTGAACAATTTGTCCAAGCCAAGAACCTTTTAGAAACCTTTATTTTGAAGTTTGCATGATGAAATGCACCCAAAAGCATTAAACTCCTAAGCAAACTAAGTGGCTGCTTTTGTTAAACATCATTTGAGTGAAAACCAAATACCTAACAAAAACCAAAATTCCTGTCCAAAATAAAACCAAATTCCTGTCCACATTTTAAGAGGAACTGTATAACAGACCATCTCATACATTGCCTCTACATTTTGATGGGAAAGCTTGTCTTATGACATATTTTATCCAATACTACTTCTTTATTGCTGCACATAAGATTTTGAAACAAAATAAAAAAATTGCTAAAATTATTAGCCTATCTGGCCAAAAGGAACACTGCGGCCAGTTTCTAAATATGAAAAAGTAAGTCAAGTCAGTAAAAGTACGGGACTTTTATATTTCGAAAAATAATGTGTTTAAAACTATTCCAACTCCTCCAGTCTTTGGAACACTTGACCATGTAAATCATTAGCGAAGGCTGAAACGTGATACTGGAATGTAGCAACTGTGTGTCAAAGCGGAGTCAGTGTTCCCACATCCTGGCTCCTGAATAAACTCTGAAAACACCAAGAGCTCTTCCATCAAAGAGACGGCTCAAAGACTAATGAACATATGACCTCAGTGCTGATTCAATTAAACCAAAGCTTCAATCTGCAGTAGAGTGTAGAAGCTGGAGACAACTGAATCACAAGTAGTATCATTGTTTGAGATATTGACTAAGTTCTGCTGGATTTCTTGAAGCTTCTGCAGTACTATGGCGAGAGAGGATACTTTCACACCTATTTTTGTTTCCTTTTCCCTTCTCTTTCATAGCTGAATTATTTTGTGGGGGAATTTTCATTCGTTATGTCATCTTGTTGGGACATGTCTAGGGCATTCCTTTGGTTTCCAATTCTAACTATAATGGGATTGCTTCACTTTTGCGTGTGAAATAATGCTGGAAAAATCACTCATCTCATTTTATAGGTTGTACCAGATCCTTATATGGTTAATACCACTTTCAATGGACACTGGCCATGTGATACACTTTTAGGCTTAACTACGTTGCCAACTTAATGAGGTTTTGTGGTTTAACATCATGTCACGACTTAAGCTCCAGGTGCTGTGGGTGTATTCCTGTCATCAAAACAACAGTGTTGTATTAATTCTACTGTCAAAAAAATTCATTTAACAATATCTATTTCAGTTTCAGCACTGGGAACATGCCAGCTATTACATAGTTATCAGGAGATTTTTAGAGATATCTACAATTAGACAAACAGAAGGGAAGTACACTGTAAAATGCTGGCCAAACAAATTATCTTGCCACTTCAGCATATATAAAAGAACCAACAGGGAGGGCTGCTATCACAGTTTCCTTCATTCAATTAAAGCTTTTGTCCTTGAGCCATGGAATGCTCACTTGCATATCAAGTTCACACACATTGCAGCCACTGTAAACTGGTGCTAACAAAACAACAAATCAACCTTGAATGCCTTGTCTCACAAACTTGTGTTACTAAAAGTATAAAAATGTAACTATATTATAGTTAGTAAAAAGTTACCTCACAGGTAGCAAAAACTCTAGAATAAAGGGGAATTTCACCATTTGTATGTAAACAAAGTCATTCAGAGTGGTCTGGTGTGAAATGTGACACTCTAGAGCAGGGGTGTCAAACTCAATAACTAAAAGGGCCATATTAGAAATCTCAACAAATTCATGGGCCAGAGAACATATGTTTTTATTTCATTTTAATTAAATGTTGTGCTGTAACCCAAACTGGTCACTGTTTATTCAAAATACACAAAAACCTCAACAGTAAAACACAGGCACTGTAGACCTTGCAATATTACATGAATACTTAAAATATAGAAATGTAAATGTCCCCAGGAGCTCAGTCTTTTAAACCTACCTATTTGCTTGAACTAGACACCTGGCATCCTTTCTTTGTTGCACATTCATCAAGACTTGGGCTCAATTTCTGAGCTGCAGAGCTAATGTTAGGTGTAAATGCAGCTAGAGTGTTTCATGATATGAGTGGTGTGGAATTGTGTAGAATTGTGTAAAACTGAGATGTGACCTCTGTTCAATAGACTGCTGTTGGAGTAGGAGAGTCAGAGCGCACATTAATTTGCTTTGCATGCTGGGGACTGAAGTGCAGGGTTTTGTGAAACAGGCTAATATTAATAGAAAATTAAAATACTTTGCGGGCCGGATAGGATTGAGCTGCGGATGTGATCTGGCCCACAGGCCTTGTGTTTCACACATGGGTTCTAGAGAAATTCACTGGATCAGAATTGTTCATAGTGGGTGGTGACAGTAAACCAGATGTCCAAAGCATTTAATGCCTTTAAAATCTACTTCACCAAATGCCATTACACAAAATGGTTAAAATAAGAAACACTGCCTAATGCCTGAAAAGTTGTTTACAAAAGCTTTGAGATAAGAGCTTGAGTTTGAGATTTTGGCTTAAAATAAGATTTTTAAAATCCATTCAAGGCAGACAGATACATGTAGGGCGTTGTAAGGTGAAAGAAAACCCAAAGAAAACTTTCTTTTTTTATTTACCAGTATTTTACCTGAGAAAAACTCTTAAGACATGCAAAGGGTCACTAGTCATTATGGATAGCAAATAAAATGGCTATAACTGCATTTTAAACATTATAACCCCTGATTCCTGTCACGACTATTGTAATAAAATGAGTTGGTAAGTTTCTCTACAACGTACCATTTCACTTCACATCACCTTAAATCACTATATCAACATCTTAACTACTGAACTATGAAGAAACTTCCCTTTAATCCAGATGTCCAAAGCCAAAAAAATCAGTTTTATATATGTTTCTTTAACCAGCATAGTGTACCAGAAGCATTACCATGTTACTTATGTTAGCACCGGTGCAGAAATTTCACATTCAATTCCCTCATCTAATTCCAGTCAATAACTCTTCATTTACACGCCGCACCTTGTTCCTGCTGTGACTTAGCTCTGATAAAGCACAGCATTATTAAACCTGTGTTTTCTCTCTGGAAGCTTCTGAGTCTCTACAGACAGGCCTGGACAGTGCCTGAGTTTCTCTTCTCATACTCTGTGGAAATTCCTCTCTCTTCCAACAGATTGAAACATGACAGTAAGGTGAGCTTGTGCTATTGAGTTTCATGAAGCCCTCAGCTTGCTGCACACTTCAAAAAGTGCTGTTTGTTCTTGTCAGGACCTAAGAGATGGCGAATATACATTTTACCTCATCCACATACCATGGCTAGGTTCACATTACACAATTTAATGCTCATTGGTTAGATTTTTTTGCTCATATTTGATCCTTGTGTGTTAATGGTTCACATTTAGTGACCCACTAAACCGTCCTTATTGTGAACATCTATGCCCTAAAAGGACCTGCATGGACACATTTTAACGTCAAGTTAAAGCTGCTGCTGACCTGCAACCCACATTGATATGACGTACATGTGCAGTGAAGTGTAATGTAAAACAAAACAAAAAACAGATTTTGATCTGATATTTCTCATTATGGTGGTATTGCTACATACTGGATTTGTATCTGATCTAGGAGCACATATGAAAGTGTTTCGAACATGATTTGAAAAGATCACACAGGTCTGAAAAAACAAATCTGTGTCACATTTTGCCGAAAAATGGATTTTCTAGTGGACGACAACTCTGTAATGTGAATATAACCCATGAGTAGCAGTCAGAACAGATACTTCACCTGTTGTTCTTGGAAGCTGTGTTGCTGGGACAGTGGTGACTCGTGTCCAGGCTGGTTTCTGAAGCGCATTGCACCTTGCCGATGTCTGTCCAGGGAGTGCGGTCGGGGCGGCCGCAATTGGCTCCTCTGGTGCCACGACTTGAGCTCTTCTGAAACCACCTGACGAGGGAGGCCCCTGCTGGGGTGGTGGGGGTACTCTCTGAGCGATGGGGCCCGAGAAAGCATGAGGTGGGGAGGTACTGGCCTGTATACCTGATGTGGGAGTGCCTCTTCATACCAATACTCGTAGTGGCCATTGGTGCAAGAAGGTGGAGGTTGGTGCCTCATATGCATTCTACTCATGTCCATTTCATGGCCCCTTCCCTCATCCACATATCCTCTGTAGAAGCTTGAGGAAAGCTGAGGTGAGGAGTTTTTGTAGTGGCTGAGTGGCATGTAGGACTGGGGAATGTAATTATCAGGGAGACTGGTGTATTGGTATCTATACTGTGCTTGGTATGGCCTCTGTAGCTCTGCTGGATGCTCTTGGCATGGTGAGCTGACATAGGAAGGAGTTGAAGAGTGCTCAGAGTTACTGTCCTCAGAGCTGGAGTAATACATTGGGTTTCCCATGGCTAATCTCATCGGGGAGTACTCTGGAGATGATGATGTCAAAATAACGTCTGTCAGTCGCCTCCTGGGCCCCTGTGATCTGCCTCTGTCCCGCTCCACCTCTTGTGGTCGCTCAGTGTTCGGAACTCTGTAAATCCAAACAGTTCTAACCATTAACATTTAGACCAATACAAATTAATAAGTGAATGAAAATATTGAGAGATAGAAACATGTAAAACTAAAAGTCATTAGTCCTTTTTTTATTTTTAGCAATTGCTGACCTGAGAGAATAACCTCTACGTAGATGCATCTCTGGAGTGGAGGGGGCACTGCTGGATTGTGTGTGTCTCAGTGATACATGACTGGGTATCTGCAGCGTCACGCCTGTCTCTTCTAAACAAGCTTCCAGTGGAGGCAACGTAGGAGTAACAGCAGGACTGCGAGAAAAAAAAAATCACTGTTGTATTTATGATGATGTTGAGTTATTTTCAGACTGAGAGTTTGTTACATATATGTAGATTTTGTTTAATGGGGTCATCAGCAAAGTGGAGGTGTAACACACCCATGAAATTACTATGTGTGTCTTAATGATGGCTTAAGGGGAAAATTGCTTGAAAGAGCCATATTTCAAATGCTTCCAGTAGTGTGTGGAGAATCCTGATGATGCCACAGCGATCCATGGCCAGAAGCTTGCTTTGAGTAGAAATGCTGGCTTAATTCTTTTCTTTTGTTGCTCTACAGCCACACTGGTCAATTCCATGCACAAATCCACATTAAAGCCCATTAACAACAGAGGGGATTGTAGTGTAAAATATGAAAAGGGTTTGAGTGTTTAGTGTACACTGTTTTTTATTTGATTGAAGAAACTAGAGGCCTAGATATACACGTTAATTTCTAAGCTTTATCGGAGATCAATTCACCTCAGCAAGTGAGACATTCACCCATTATTCATAAGACTTTTTTGTACATGCATAGTGTGTGTTCTTAAGACCAACATCAACTTAATTAGAAAACAAATCATGGATTTTAGTTCCGTGGGGCCTTAACAAATCTCCTGTTTGGGCTCAGATGTTGACATACCTGGATTTGGTGCTGCTGGAACAAGACTTCTTCTGTTTTTGGTATGGCTGATCAAGACTAGATTCTTTCCAGGGGGAGTTCTGGATGGGGGAAGGCTCATACTCTACTGTGGGGCTATGGCAGGGGTGTAAAGCCTTGAGGGGCAGTGCGGGTGGCTGACAGGGGCTGGGCTCAGGTGGCTGAAGTAGGGGTGAGGAGCCAGTAGGCGCGAGCGGACGATGGGAAGTGCCTGGAGGAACAGAAAGACAGTCTACAACAGGAGGGGGCTCCGAGGAGAGCTGGGACGACTGGCTCATTAGCTCTTCTGAAACAGTGATGAGAGAAGACACTGTCAATACAGTGATGACGTGTGGGTGCCACTTTATGATACACAGCATAAAAGTACAAAAGAAACTTTTGGATGCATTTGATCCCACATTTACCTTCATCCAACACTGCTGAATCTGACAACGAACTGTCATCTGATGTGGCTTGATCTGAAAACAGAAGAAATGACAAAATGTTTAAAAGTAACTGTAGTAAAGAGACCACTGTCAGTGTTTACTATGGAAAAGAAGCAATGGGATATGTATCGCATTTACAGCAATGTTGATTTTCAGTAGCAATTCTGATAGGTATGGGTTCATTAACTTTGCAAACCTAATTACTCATAATATTATAAATTTGGAAAATATTATTATATATATTATATTATATAAATATTATTATATTATAGATATTGAATTTTATCAGTACTGCCCAGAACTGAGAAGCACCCTTACGTTTTTGCAGAATCATTCCAGGGCGCGGTGAGGAACGGCCATGTGCAAGCCGCAGCTGGAACACAGCCTCTTGGAGTTCCTTGAGCTTCTGTTCTTCACGCTTGCACTGCTGCACTCTGCTCTTCTTCACCGCCTTGCTGAGGTGCTCCTCCTGGCACAGTCTGCGGGCCGCAACGTAGATCTGCTGCTGCAGGGCCAGCTTAGCCTCCACCGCACATAGCTCTGAGTCCTGAAAAATAATCGTGTCAGTGACATCTACTGACATCTATTTTTCATTTATAAAACAAGTTTTATGAAACAGGTTTCTCTACCTTTAAAAATAGTGATTGAATTTATTTGATTAAAAAGTGTAAATTACTTTCAAAATTAAAATTACACTAAGAAGTAAACAAACTGAAAGTTGTGTTGACGTATGTTTTTTTATTAATTGTTTCAGTGTAAAAGAGCTCCACCTCACAATGTGTTTCTTTACCCCTAAAAAATACAATTCTTTCTTTTCTAGATCTTAGTTTTTTATGGGAGTAGATTATAATGAGAGAGGTTTTACTGGTCACTCAGTTTTGCCCTTTACCTCTCCTCCTCTGTATAGAATGCTCTGCTCATCTAGCTTAAAAGCTGCCCCGATGCGTCTGCGAATCTGTGGAGGTTTCTCTCCAGGCAACAGAGGGTAGTCTGAAGACAAGTGTCCTGTGAGTTCCTGCATGAAGCAGAAGATCCATGTTTTAAATATGGAGGGCTATGAGAATAGGACATTTTGAGACATGCTGATGTGTGTAAATTCATACCTCACACCAACAAGTGAACAGCTGAAATGTAACTGAAACTGTATTCAGTAGCAGATAAAGTAACAAAGGAGTTACTGCAAATGTGGCTTTAGCCAAGGTTCCTGCTTTTCCTGTATGAAACGCTATAATCTGCGAGTCCAGGCAAGCCTCTGTTCTCAACTGCTGTAGCTTACGCAATGCTGTTACTCAAAGATTCTGTTCTTTCTCATCCTGCCTCCCAGACAAATCCTACTGTCCCTCCCAAGATCAGTTCTATTCAAAACACCTTGGTAATGCTTGTGGTGATATTTATCTAATGGAGACACAAAACCGCACACCACAAGCTCTGGTGAGCCACATCAGGGGTGTGCCAATTCAAGTACAGACAATCCAAACCCTGTCGCTAAGGCATGATTTCAAATGTTATTGTGACAGAGGGCTGAGGGTTCATCAGAGACTTTCTTGAGAACACCTGGATATGACAAATATATATTCATTCATTTGTTTGACCAAGACAGTAAAAAATTGGTGTGGGAAAAGGGTTAGCGGAGAACAAATCCACTTCAAGTCATTCTCCTCTACAGGCTACCTGAATGGTCAAAAAGAAAACTGTTTCTCATGTTTGTCCAGCCTTTCTCAGGTTTAATCAGTTCTACAATGGAAGTCCCACTGTACTTTTAGCTGTGTATCTCTCTTTGACATATCTCTTCTTGAACTGTGTGTGTGCACGTTTGCTCGAAAGTTGACTCACAGCTTCTCTGATACAGAGTTTTTTCAGCTCCAGAATACATAGCTCTAGCCTGTCCTCCAGTGACTGCCGCTTTAGCTTCACAGCCCGAGTATGTGTACTCACATCCTTCATCCCTGTGGTGGGACTGTCAGGTCCTGCAACACACACACACACACACACACACAGTCATACACCCAAGGGCTAGTTAATTTTTTTTAGCAGGAACTTAAGAGAGCTACAAAATCCTCAATGCTTTAGCATCTCAAGTGTCCTTTCCACCTGTAGTTTATCTTTACATCAGTATCTCAAAAGGATGTATCTATGTAAAGGTGGTGATTCATTCGCACAAGAATGTTAGTATCTGATAATAACTGCAATCAATAAAACAGCCACTCTTCAATAAAAATTGTGGGCTATTTTTAAATGTAAAAAAGAATAAAAAAGCAAAAAGCAAAGTGTATTGTGAAAAGTTCCTTCAGTCACATTTGTATTCTTAGTGTATTTTCAAAAAATACACCAAAAACTCAAACTAGCAGTAATTAGACGTCTGATTAAGAAAGCTAATCTTGATCCCTGCGAACCATCAAATTATAGACCTGTCTCAAATGTTCCTTTTGTATCAAAGATTTCGGAAAAAGGCGTGGCACAGCAACTAAGTTCCTATTTGTATAGGAATCACACACAAAAAAAAATTCAGTCTGGATTTAGGCCTCATCACAATACAGAGACAGCGCTAGTAAAACATTTTACACAATCTCTTATTATTCTCTGCTGGGTCTACTTCAGACCACTCTCTCTCTCACTAGATAGGCTAGAAAACCTTGTGGGAGTAACAAGAATAGCTCTTTCCTGGTTCAGATCTTACCTGACTGATTGCTATTGGTTTGTGAATATATACAAACTAATTACACTCAAACTTAATAGCTTCTCAGTTGCATCAGGTACATCTGTAAAAAACCCTGGTGTCACGATCGATGCCCATCTGTCCTTCGATGCACACAAAATCAGTATTACTAGAATAGCTTTTCTCCATCTTCGCAATATTGCTAAATTAAGAACAGCAGTCTCTACAGAATGCAGAAAAGCTAAAGCATGCATTTATCTGGATTACTGTAATGCCCTGCTGTATGGATGTTCCAGCAAAAGCCTTGACAAACTTCAATTAGTTCAGAATGCTGCAGCCAGAGTCCTCACAAGAACTAGAAAATGTGACCATATTAGTCATTTCATCAAACCTACACTGCTTTCCAGTTAAATTCTGCATTGACTACAAAATTCTTCTACTGACATATAAAGCTCTAAACGGCCAGTACCTGAATAAACTTCTCTCTTATTATGAACCATCATGCCTATTTAGATCACAAGATGCTGGCTTACTATTAGGGCCAATCCCATTTCTTCTTTACCCCTACCCCTTGTTTTCGAGTGTCACCCTAACCCCTTGGAACTGAGTTACAAGGGGTAGTGGTTGAAATCTTGCCCTACAAAATGCAACAACAATGCAATTTAATAAAATTAAAAAAAAAAAAAAAACAGCATTATTCATTAACAGGCTACTAGCAGTGCTCTAGTTAGCTAGCTAGCTACTGAGTCACTAGCATGCTATTAGCGATTTTTTATGTTTGTAATGAAGAAAACGACCATAACACCTTGAAACGACATTAAACTAAGATAATACAAAGTTTATCATAGTTTTTTAACAGAGAAAATACTAACATTTGTGGGTTTCTTTGGTTGCTCGCGTAGCCATCTTGTGGGTTTTTCTTTTTTTCCCTCATAACACTCCATTTGGAGTGTGCCTCTGAAAAACCTCAGTTTGGAGGGCCACATAGCCCTAACACTTCACCCTACCCCTCTAGCTTTCTCAAAAATTGGGACACCCTAACCCTAGACGTGAACGCGCAAAACAGAGGGCTAAGGGCTAAGTGGTAGGGACAAGGGGAAATTGGCCTTAGTACCTAGGATTAATAAAGTAGAGCCTTTTCAGTATTTTAATATTTTATACTCTATACTGTTAAAACCTTATTCTCTCTTTTATTGCCCTTGTGTTATTGTTTTGCTATCTGATGTTGACCAGAGGAGGATGGGTTCCCCTTTTGAGTCTTGGTTCCTCTCAAGGTTTCTTCCTCTTGCTCTTAGGGAGTTGTTCCTTGCCACTGTCTTCACTGGCTTGCTCATGGGGGCTTGGTCCCGGATTTTGGGTAAAGCTGCTTTGTGACAACGACTGCTGTAAAAATCACTATATAACTACATTTTGACTTGACTATATTACATCTGCAAGAAAGAATGAAGAAGAATGAAGAAACCTTCTTCATTTTCCACAAAACACACAGTCTAGGTAAGCACTAGTACTAGTTTTCTCAAGAGGCATGGCATAACAAGAGTGTAAAGCATTTGTCATTTGTGATTTACATACCAGGAATTTGCAACATGAACCAAACTGAGATAAAACATCCTATCTTCAATGATTAAGAAGATTTTATCTTGGGAATTTCCTGTGTTTTGAACACTGGCCTTGCTATCATGCTATGCAGAGACATTGTACACATTCCACCACAAACTTCACAAAAAATACATTAAATATGTTAGTCATGGGTAATAAAAACATATTGGAACTTCTGTATCAACATCTAATTAAACTTGAAAGTACTTGGAAAAAATTGCTAGATTAAACATACATTAAACGGGTCATTTGCTACATTTCATTTATGCTTAATTTTTCTTCTGAGGTCCACGTATGACATTTATGTGGTTGAAAGAGCCGAACAGTCATTAAATTTACATGGCTATTTTCCAACCTCTTTTAATCTCTTTACCCCTTAGAATTAATTGTTTTTTTGTTATTGTGCCTGACTGATATTTGTAAACTGATCTCTGTTCTGATTAGCCTTGAGTTGTGCCTCAGCTGTTTTCTATTGAAACACTTATTATAACTTCAGCGTGAATAGACAAGGCTAAACTGCTGAAGGCTGAACAGGTGGAGATGTGTAATGGCTTGATTTTTGTGACATCAAAAAATCGATTAATTGACAATGGGATGCTTTTGCAGCCTAGTTTCCATATGGACTTGGGAACTTAAACTTCGACATGTTAAAATTGTTTACATACTACATCAAACTATTTTAATTGAGGGAAGCAAGAAAAATATTGTTCTCCACTGACACAGGCCCCATTTTTTTAAAGAAAGTTTTTTTTATTTTACAAAGTTCTAGAGATATGGGGTTTGTTTTACGAAAGTGACGATAATGTTTCTACAGTTGCACTTTTAAGTCTTGTTGATTACCTTCTGAAAAACATCAAGCCAGCAAAAGTAACTAGTCAACCATGACTGAAATATTTATGACATGAAATAATGGGCACCTACTGCACCTACCAGAATGCAGAATAATCCCACTGTCTGTGTCACTGATCTCCTCTTTGGCCTCCATGTCTGCCACACTGGTGTTCTTTAAGTCAAAACACTATGTTTTCACTTCCTTGACAGCCCCCTGAGAAATAAAAAAAATCAATTAATACAGCTGTATTTTATAATGCATGCTTACAAAGGACTAACTTAGCAGTTTGAACCAAAATGAGACTGGCCAGTCCTGGGGAACCATTTAACCTTTCAACCGTGACAAGGTCTAGAAAGCCGGAGGGGGGTCAGAGCAGATTCCAGAGGACTAATGCAGGCAAACAAAGGTTTAACAGGACAACTCGGAATTCTAATCTAACTGTGCCTTACAGCAATGCTCTGTCAGCAGGAGCTCAGCCCAGGGTTTAACGAAGTGTGTGTGTGTGTGTGTGGAGGGGGTATTCTACTTAATAGTTGCCCTTTAATCTGCCCATTGTAAAGTGAGTGACTTCTATGCACCTGATGGAGAGGTTGACAGACAGGGCTTTAGTTCTCCATTCTACATTTGCATTCAGTTGTGGCTGTTTTCATGTTGTCTTGGTGATAATTTCTGTCTCTTCATTAGGGCTGGGCGATAAAACGATAACAATAAGTATCGCAATATAACTTTTCCTCGATAAAGTGATAAGACAAGTTCGATAAATTTTCGATATAATACACCATTCTCACACTTCCACGTTTTAGCGAAAGCCCCGGTGGCGTTTTCTACAGCAAGGAAAGCGTCACTACTCTGCTGTCGCCAGGAGAGGGCGCACTTCCCAGTTTTTCGACTTGATTAGAGAGGGAGGAGGCCACGAGTAAAAAAGGGTCGCCAAATATACTTTAGCAACATATGAAATGCGGAGTTATACATTCCCTGTTTGAGTGGAGCAACCGGCGATCTGTTCTCCTGTGACTGAGTGTGAGTGACGAGATCAGTGACGTAACTGTACTGTCCTACGGTGAACTCACCTCTTTCCATGCATCCTAACAACTTTAGCGGTGTTAAATCACGTCTGCAGCGCCGTGTTACAGCGCCAAACCGTCATATTTTAGTATTAGTGCACTCTCGAGCAACGAAAGAGGAAGAAAGAAGTGGGTTAATGTGAGTTACAGCCCTGATTTAAACGAAAGTAAACTGAGGAAGCTGTGAGGCATTGGGAAGCGGGAGAGCGCTAGGTTAGCTTTCCAGGCTAGCTGTTTTTAGCTGCTGGCTAACTCCGGCTGCGGCGCCCCGGCACAACACAGTGAATTGATGATACGGTAGATCAAACAAGACACAAAATCACCGCTTTCAGTTTAAACATACCTAAAAGGAGGACTCTGTTTGACTGGTGCGAGAGATTCACACTGCAGATAATGCTTTTACACAGCGAACGTCAGATATACTGCGGTTCACCCCTTAAACTACTACGATAGCATAGAGAAATCCAGTCGTCTGCTAGCTAGTGTCTGAATACTGTGATATGCTCTGACATGGATGTGGTAGGAGTGACAGCAGTGACCTACCGAACCAAGTTGACATTGTTGAGAAACTAAAGAGTTTAGCACTGTTGTTGGCCACTTGTTTAGCATTTGTAACGGGATAGCCGAGCGCTCGTCACCAGACTGCTAAAAATAATCTGTTTTCTTTCTTAAATTATGACTATTACAAAAATTGCAGCGGTGCTTTCCCAGCTGATAAAAACAGCTCAGAAACTTTCTCCCACTGTCCCAAGACAGATTAGTGAAATGTTCCACTGTTTGGTGAGTGTTTGTCATGATCCGACCATAAATGATAGTTTAAAACCACAATTAACCACCCAGGAGCAAAATCAGCCTTCAAATGTGAAAGAAATAATGATTTGACATTTATCGTGATATGTATCGATATCGAACGATATGAATTTTGTTTATCGTGATAACGTTTCTGGCCATATTGCCCAGCTCTACCCTTCATATACAGAACTGAAGTTCTCAAAGACAGAAGAGCCTCTGTCAGATTACAGACTCTTGGTCTACACCCTTTAGAAAAAGGTTCCTAAATGATTCTAGACTTGGATGAGAAACTTTGAATTGGCATAGAACTGTTAAATAATGTGGATGTTCTTCAAACGTCTTCACACTTTTTCTTTAAAAGATCATCCAAAAGTGATTTTTGGCATTACAGGGATAACCCCTCTTAGCAACTTTAAGTTTAATTGGTGCCACAGTTTTAGTTTTGGGCTAGTTTGCACACTTATCACATAACTTGGTTAAACTGCAACCACATTACATACTTCACCTTTTCTAACTGAAAATGATACAGCAACACACACATGTATGTGGGTAGTTACATTCACTCAGACACAAGAAAAACTTTGATGGATTTGTTCTTTCTTGAATATTTTCAAATTATACACAGGTATCCTGCTGAGTAAAGAAATCTACTTTTTATATACTTTTTACATTTTATATTTTACAAGCCCAATTTTTGTGTTTTATTTCATTAGGTTATGCCAGAGACCACGTGAACAGCTTTGTGATTGGTCATACCTGATTTCTAAGGTTTCTAAGGTTTTAGACAGAGTGTGCATTAAAAAGAGAAAAATAAGACTTGACAAATACGGCCAGTATTTGTCTATACTAATAGATGCTGTATGTACTTAGAAGTTTTGCTGAAGACCTGTAAGTTACTCAGTACTTACATAGTTTTTTTGAGCTGCTACTTTTGTACTTCTACTCAAGCTGTTTTTTTGAAAAGTACTTTTACTACTTGAGTCATTATTTCACTGAAGTAATGACACTTTTAATTGATTATAGGTTTAGATTACTCTAAACACCTCTGCACATAAGGATGGATGAAAATTCAGTCTTGTGTGACATTATTATTTTTTACAAATGCATCTTGAGTTGTACATTTGTAGTCTTTGTTAATCATGACTTTAACCTCACAGTTCAGACCTGTACATATGTGACTACACCTAAGCACAAAGTCACACGTTTCTACCAGGCCGTGGGCTCCAGGCCAGTAAGAGAGTCTGCTTAGTTTCCTGTCTGTGGAACTGTTTGTGCCAGTCTACGTCAAAATGACAGCGTCTTGAGTAAGCAGGGATATCCACAGCTGGGAGAATGATTAACAGGTAAAAGGGCTATATAGCAGTGACCCATCACCAGCTGCAAGACACAGTTTATTATTGTGAAATAGTTTCTGCTTCTCTTATGCTTACAGGTGTTAAATAATGTGAGCCAATTCATTTTTTTTTTTTTAAATCAACTTTGCATTCAAGGTTCTTACTCATTCTTAGTTATCTAAAAACAAAAACAACAACAAAACAACAAACATAAAAAAAAACTTGTTTGCATGACCTTATCCATAAAATTCTAAATTGCCATCACAATCTAAACTAAGTTAAACAAGGAATGCCGGTGAAAACGATGGACTGAACAACAAAACACACACTGATATTACCTACAATCAAAACTGAGGTAATGCTTCTAATGCCTACTCAAAACGATGTTCTAAATCAACCAAACCAAAATACTAAGGAAATCAAAACAGCAATACAGCATGTTATTTACCAAAAGCACTTTAAAAGCCACACACAATTATTTAATAAGCAATGAACACATTTCCTAACATTCTATACGAACCACAGTGGTCCTACCACATCACAAAATTCCAAAAACCAAAGGTGCTCAGTATTGGATTTCACCAAAAGTATCCAAAATTCTAATCAGCTTAATACCAAAACATAACTCAAATCATTTGTATTTGCTGAAAAATATAAAGATTGGAGCATCAAAAATACACAAAGAATGTGAATATGATATGCCAGAAACATTAGAAATGAAAAGAAAAGTCTACTTACATGTTCAAAGTCTTCAAGAAAAAGAAGAGAGAAAACTGTTTGCCTAGATTACTTCCACAGATGAAGTTTCTTTAACGACGCAGTAACAGCTCTCTCACTCTTTCCCCCTCGTCTCTCTGAATGAGCTGCTGTGACTCTCCCTCTCCGTTAAAGAGTGAGTGCAGTGAGCACGCGCCCTGTCAGTCTCAGTACAACAGAGCAACCATTAACCAGAGTCAGAATGACTCTACCTGTTTTAGCCTACTTCTTATCAGCTTTCTTGATGCACAGATATAAGAGGCGAAGGCGTGAACCACAACGCAGATGGAAAGAAACAAAACTGTGTTCATGTTGTGAGTAAATGAAGACAAAGTCGACAGGTAAACACAGACACAATTTGAATGGAAACCGTGATTTCTGTGTGACTCTCTCTAGAAAGTGCCACACTATTGCAATAATCATAATGAAGTTCTGCTGCCCTCTCCTGTAAAAACTGTTAATACATTACTGCCAGGTTTGTAAAACTACATGACGTGGTGTATGAAAATTACAAAACAATGATTAGCAAATAGTTACTTCATTAGCGTGTTACTTGACATTTAGTAAGGGATCTTATTCCCTTCAGAAGTTCAATATTAAGAGGGTTTTAAAGAGGATTTTAAACCGAAATGCCACCCAAGTTCATGATACAATATGTGGTGTTTTTTGCACCATGATATGATATATTTTTCAATACAGAAGAAACTCCAAAATGTATTTTGCTTTTATTTATTTATTAAACTGCTATTTTATTTTTGGTCAAAATTCAGTTGCCAAAAGAGGACCACAGCAAGGAGTGAATTAACTTGGTGGTGAATGAATTAACACATTTTTCTTACTAGACGAATTTAAATACACATAAAATTTAAATGACTGTGGAGGTGCTTACTTTTGTGATCGTCTTTTTTGTGAGTATTATGGATGGATAAAATATGATATTATTTGATTCACAATGAATGCTGTCTGACATATAAATATAATAAATAAAATATAATAATATACCTTTCGTAACACCCCTAATATACACAAAAAGGTCATAGCATTTTAAACAATACCATTTGCTCAGTTGAAACCCAACTGGAAATCATCTGACCTTAGAAAGTCAGAGGGCTAATCCTCCAGAATGCAGTGGGAGACACTGCGTCTGCTGCTCCCATGGATCACTCACATTCATTCAGGATCTTTACACTCACTCTGGCTTTCCAAGAATGTCAGTCTATATGAACTGCCATGGTGCTATCACATCACAGAATGCCAAGCAGCAGGGATGCAGTCTGTATCAGATTTCACCAATAGTCTCCAGATATATACATTTCCAGTGACGTAGGCTGATACATATTAACCATCTGGAGAGGCCAACTTAGGGTCAGCAAAAGAAAAAAGAATTTCAGACGATACGGGGAACATTTAAGACAACAAATGTACAGTGAAAAGTATTAGACAATGAAAACTTAATTGGCTGAGAAGTTACTTTGCACGCGTTACCATCGCATTGGATAGAATGAGAAATGGCGTCAGGCAAATGCTGGTGGGAAGAATCCCTCAAGTCTCTCAACCAAGTAATGCATGCAGCACTTGGACACAAAGACAAAAAACTAACCGACATGAGATTACATTTACTTTTTTCGAGGACAATTCACACAATTTTCCAGAAATAATAATGCTATTTATGCAAACGTGGTAAAGGTTCCACAAACACAGAGCTCAACAAATTCAGCCACAAGACTCCTTTGTAGGTAGTAACTGAATTTTGTGGATCATGTCGTAGAGGTCACCACAAACACTCAAGGGAATTTCCAGCTCCAGGATACAATAGCCCAGTGTCTGCTGTTTTAGATCTAGACAAACTATTTTAACCACAGCTTGGACATGTTTAAAATGTTTCATAAGACTTTCATAGCATACATATCCATAATGTGCTTCAGGCCAAATAAACAAAGCATTACCTCAGACTGACATGAAGTAATGTTTGTGTGGGCCCACATCGCTTCTTTAGATTATCTGGAGGAAAGTTAGGGATGGGGCAGAGACCATCACCATTAGGGGTGTAAGAATATGCTATGTTTAAGATATAATTTTTAATTCTGAGATCAAAGACTTGATTTGATTTCCAATATTCTGTGCTATGTCCCTTGTTGTACAGATATGGAATTATATACTACATTAAAAAAAAAAATACAGACCTTATTTCAAAACAAGAGTCAGCAAAGCTGCATGTCCTTAAATGAACAAAACAGTGATCTTACTCTGCAAATGAGCTATGAACGATATAAAAATCTGAACTGCATCATAAGAAATGGAAATATTAAAGATGACAATGATTTGATACCAGGTATTGGTATCGGGCTGATATCACCAGAAAATACTTGAGTGGACACTAGAGGGAAAACAGAATGATTCCGGTCCAAACCACTAACAAATCTAGCCTGAAATAGCACACACTCATGTTGTGTAATGCCATGTGTTAGCTGTATGTTTTTTACTGTGGAGTAGAAGAATGTTTGAGTAGTTTAAGGATGATAGACTAATTTTAGATGCTCATATTAAACGAAGTGCTTAAATTGAAAAAAAACAAAAAAAAACAAAAAAACACCTAATTTTAAAGCATTGTTGTGTTAAAGAAAAAAAACATTGGATAAGTAGTACTGCATGGAATGGCAAAACATTTTTGTCACAGTATAATTTATGACATTTATGATGTTTCAGTATAGATCACAGTATAGTGTATTTGTGTATTTTTTTCAAGTAAAACCATTTTACTTTTAAGAGTGCACAGAGTGGTAAGGTAAGAGTGGCTTATTATCTGATGACCCTTCACTTAAGAACTATTGTTGTATGCAAAAGAGTGGACTGCTTTTGCAGTCAGCTAGGAGTACTTCTTTTCTTGTTTAAGGAATTTTCACCCACTCTTCCTTTCAAAAGATTTTGGTCCAACTTGCATGCATAGCATGTCTAAGATCTATCAAAAATTTTTTGATTATGTTCAAGTCTGGGAACTGTGAGGGCAATTTCTAAAAGGTTCAGCTTGCATTTCCTGAAGTAGTTCCTGGTGGATTTAATGTATGTTTTACATCATTCTCCTGTTGTAGAAACTAGCCTTCTTTTCAGCTTCAGTATCTCAACTGACTTTGTCATATTTCATTCCAAAATTTGCTAATGTTTAATGAAATCTGTGCGATGCTTCCTGGTCTACTGGCTGCCACAGAACCTTAATAGTTAGCAAGGTGTTCTTCTCATCAAATGCTGCTCCTTTTTTTCTTAAAAAAATATCTTTGGTGATTGTGCCATAAGAGTTAAGTTTTTACTTCATCAGTCCACAGCATGTTTTCAAAATGCCACTGGCTATTCTGTTGTTTTGCACACTTCAGACATCGACTTTTATGATGAGGTTGCAGGTAAGGTTTCCTTCTGATGTAGATCATGTAGAACAGTGCATCATCACTCCTATGTACAGATAAACCTTCATGCAGGTCCTTTAGGGGGGTTTGCTGTGCTTTTCTGGCCAGTATACAAGCAGTTCAATCTGAGAGCTTTCTTGGTCTTCCAGATCTTGCCTTGACTGAAATCTTCTGTAGTCTAATAATAATACTACACGCAGATGCTATTGCAGTTCAAGCTTATTTTATCTTTTAACAATTCTGTCATGTTACAAATCCAAAATCTCTGTAAATTAAACTCTGGAGTAAACCAAACCTGAATAATCGAGTTTTAGCTGCAGTGACACCACAGAATAGCATTCTGCGTTGGTTAAGTGTAAAAATTTCTCCATCATTCAGTAAGCAACGAGCCAGCTTTGAGACATAAATAATACTTAAAATAGTATTAACAAATTTCCCAAACTTTGAAATAGACTCACATTCCCAGAACATATGTAGAAACGTGCCTGGTGTATGTCCAGAACAGAACTGACAGTTGTAACTGGTAATCAGACCCATTTTGCAATGTCTGTAAGGTGTACTATAATAACTGTGAATGATTCAGATACTTGCCCAGTTTGGGCAGAGACCATAAGATTCAAGCTCTTTGTCCCATATATAGAGAACATGCAAAGGTCTTTGGGATGTGGTTATTAAATCATTATAAATTCTAGAGACTATTCTCTGCAATTTCATTTTAAGTCCTAGCTAGTCTATCAGAAGATGAGTGAAAAGTGATCTACAAGCATTGAGGACTTTTATTTGTAAGTCAAAAAAAGTTGTCATTCCTGAGAGTGGAAATTGCGAGCTGGTATCTTTGTGCTTTGACATCTTTTTATAGCTTTACCCCACTTCATAGTCATCAATAAGCTTCATGGCTTAGAGGAGCCTATGGTTGTTGAGTGTTACCACAAGGTTAGGCGAGTCAGAAAATATATTACTCTCCGGAACTGCTCTCAGCTGACAATTCCTGATTACAATTCTTGAACTGCCAAACCAGTCCTAATGACTCGATTGAGACCGATGAAGTTATTTCAGTTCTGAGACTTTATAACTGGTAGGGTGTCAAAACCTATGCTACATTTTGTTTTTTCTGTTTTTTAAGTTAATCAAATATAAAGTAACCTTGCATTAATATTTCAGTTAAAATGTTTTTTGTAATTTTATTTTTAAATTTCTCATTATATCAACTGTTTTTCTTGTGTGCTAATAATCTGTATCAACATCGGCCCCGAAAAACACATATTGGTTCATCCATTTTTTTTCATGCCTTTACATTAGTGTCATGACAAAATCTGTAACAGTGATCTGCAACACAGCAAACCAGATCTAATCAAGGGTAAATGTTATAGAGGTAGTGAAAAGACACTGTTTGCTTTGTGCTACATCCATAGGATTTCCATAGGATTACAGTTAGATGATTTTAAAGGCTGTCTAACCACACTTTAGGCCAAACACTCTATAGAGACCTGCCAATCTTTTAGCTCTCCTCTTCCTGGCACTGCAGAGTATGTAGGCTTACTGCACACGGGGGCCAGTGAGGCCATGTTATTCAGGGGATCTCTACCATCCTGTCCATTCAGCCTGGGAGCTCAAGCGCACTGAAGCCACAGTCAGTCACAGTTGACATCCCACTAGGAGCCGTGTACACAAAAGTCAGTAAGCTTAATTTATGTGAGAAAAAAAATGCCTAATAAAAACAGAAGCTCCTGGAAACGCATGGATTAAGTTAACTATAACTGTAACCTACTATAATGTCACGGTGTATCAACAATACTCACACAATAGAAATTATTAAATCGATATTATAGACATTGAGTATTCAGACTGGAATAACATGCATTGAGCACACAAACATTTAAGTTGCTTTCACACAAAGGGGAATATGGTTGATCGGTTAAAGCCCAAACTCGTCTTCTACTGTTTTGCTTTTACTCTCAAAACAACATCCCTAAACATCATTCTCAGATATAATGTTGTGTAATGTTTTTACATCCCAGTCATACCTTAACTATAAAACATAATGTTTTGCCAGATTAATCAGACAGGGTGACATTCAAACCTGTTTTCTCGTACACCCTTAAACATATTTCACATACAGAATGCTGTCACAGAAGAACTACATCTGAGTGATTCCTACTGAATTTTGTAAAGAACCATCCATCAAAAGGTTCTTTGAGGAAGCAAAAGTGGTTCTTCTATGGATTCACTCCAAAGAACCCTTTTAAGCACCTTTATATTTAAGACAGCACATGCTTTCCTACTTAACTGGGCCCACCATCAGTGATTAGTTATTTTTAAATATCTCCAGACCACCATCCATATTAATGCTCTGCATAATTGCTGCTTTGGATGGTGAAACCTAGTGGGAAGGACAGGGAGTACTTCTGGTCCCAGGAAAGACCCCACCCTTGCATTTGCATTACATTACTTGTAAGGCCTTGAGGAAGATGTAAAGCAGAAACTGATTTCAAATGAACCATGGAACAGACTGAAAGTGTCTGATGTGGACAGTAATGTCTCCATTGGCTTCCACACCACCATCATCACTGTAACAGTGAACACATCTCTCTGAGCTCTCTGTCTCCATATTCATTATCACTTAAAGGCCCCAACCACGATTCCACCAGTGAAGGTTGAGAAGAACACATGAATCAAACCCAAGTCCTAGCCGCCTACTACTTACTCCCTTACAGCGGCACATGTTTCAGTCTGGAGAAAACACTTTCTTAAGGCAAAAGAGTGAGTGGGTGTGGAAGCACATTCTGTGGAAGGACAATCACAGGAAAGCTATTACATGAATGGCAGAAAACAGATTACTAGGTAAGAGTTGTCTATTTCAAGCTGAATTCAAATACACAGTGACATCATGTTTGCTCACCCATTTTTCAAAATGAGGACATTCTTTTTTCCTTTCTTAACCTACGGGGAAGTACAATGTTCCTGTCAAAGCAATAGATTATGATTATAACATTTTTTTACATGTTCC